AGGATAATTATAATTAAATAAGATCTTAAAAAAAAATACAATAAAAATAAGACAAGTTTTTTGATAAAAAAAAAACAGTGGCAACTGGAGGTTCAACTAATTTTTCTGCAGATGGCTTAGCCGGCTTTTATAAAATTCAAAGTCAGCAGTATTTTATCACGTTAACAATTTTAGGAAATAAAATCATGGGAGCAGCCCACGACGCTCTAAGCAATAATGGCACTGTTTTAAATGTTAAAGCAATTTTATCTAGATTGGACTTTATATATAGTGATAAACGACCAATCCATATTCTTGAGTCCGAATTAAGTATCCTTAGACAGGGTATAATAACAGTTACTGAATACTATAATGACGTCAATAAAAAAATGACTTTACTAATAAACAAAACTATAATGACATACGAAAAGGACAACGTAATTACCAAGGAAACAAACAAAACAATAAGGAGCAATGTTCTACGAATTTTTATCTCTGGATTAAATGGCCCAATATCAAAAACCCTTTTCTCATTAAATCCACCAGACTTGCCCAATGCTTTGGCAAACAGGTATTATGGTTTTAAAAATGAAAATATAAATCAGGGAAATAATTTAAGATTTAATTCCGAACAAAATACTAATACTAAGGGAACGGGAAATAATTTAAATTATATAACTTCGAAGCCAAATTCAAAGTAAGCCTAGTAATAATTGACAGACAAATAATAATCGAGGCAGATATATGAAAAATTATTATTAAAACAATAATCGCACAAACTAAAACGGAGTTTAATATTTTAATAGACACGGGAGCCACTGCTTTTTATATTAAGAACGGATTTTTTGAGAATAAAAATGAATTATCAATTTACAAAAAAGTATCTACAATTCATGGGTATTAAATTATTAAATATTACCACTACATAAATATATTTGGAACAAGACATTTGTTCTATGAAATAAAAGGATTGGAATCTGACCTACTAAGTGGGCTTAATTTATTGAGAAAAATCAGAGCTATAATAATAATAATAGTGAGGAAAAAACGAAACAAGTTTAATGGAAGTCAATAATACTCTTCCATTAAAAAAATTTATTTATAAAAAATATTTTGTTAATAAAAGCTGCGAAAACACAGATTTTATATTTATGGAAAGCATCGAGAAAAGTTTGGGATCAACAAATCCTCAGCACGCCCACGATGAAATTTCCGTCAACAAAAAATTAAATAGTTTGGGATCAACAAATCCTGAGCAAGCCGACGATGCAATTTCCGTCAACAAAAAGTTCATTGTTTAGGATCTAAAAATCCGTCAACAAAAAATTTTAAAAATTTTGGAACTAATGAGTCCAAGCGAAATAAAATGAACTATATTAATTTGTCAAGTACAAATCGAATAGAAGTACTGCAGAAGAAAATAATTGAAATAATCAAAGAAGAAGACTCAAAAATAAATTTAAAAATTTCATTTGGAACCGATATTGGAAGTGAAATAAAAACAGAAAATGACAGGGCAATTTATAGTAAACAGTATCCTTATGCCTTATCAGCTTCAGATTTCTTTAATACTGAAATCAATAGAATGCTTGAGGAAAATATTATAAGACCTAGTAGAAGTCCTTATAATTCACCAGTGTTAGTGGTACCCAAAAAAGGTAAAAATGAAGATGGCAGTCCCAAACATAGATTAGTAATAGATTATAAAAACTAAACGAAAACACTATACCGGAAAGATACCCGATGCAAGACCCGTCTGTAATATTAGCAAATTTAAGAAAGGCTAAACATTTCTCAATAATTGATTTGGAATCCGGATTCCACCATATTTTAATGAAAGATTCAGATATAAAGAAAAAAAAGTTCTAATATTAACGAAAAATTTGAATTTTCACATGCCTTTTGGGTTAACGAACGCACCCAGAATTTTTCAAAGAGCCATGGAACAAGTAGCAAAAACTTGCCATGTTTATATGATCGATATTATTATTTTCTCAAGCACTATTGAACAACACTACGCTGATTTAATTAAATTAAATTATATTTTACAAAGAGCTAATATGAAAATTTCTCTCGAAAAATCTAAATTCTTTAAATTAGAATCCGCATTTCTAGGTTTCATTGTTTCTCATATAGTAATTAAAACGCATCCCGAAAAAATTGCCACAATTACAAAATATTCGATTCCACGCAATATTAAAGAACTCCCAAGTTTTCTAGGACTAATGGGGTATTACAGAAAATTTTTCCAAAACAATTCAAAAAATTGCTAAACCACTAACAACATATCTAGGAGGGGAAAATGGAAAGGTTTTTAAAAGAATGTCTACAAAAATATCAATACAGTTCGACGAATCAGCTGTACAAGCATTCAACGAGCTAAAGGAGAATCTAATAGCACAAGTCGAATTAATTCAGCCAGATTATAGTAAGAAATTCGTTTTAACTACAGACGCATCAGACGTAGCTATCGGGGCAGTACTAACACAAGATAATAAACCAATTACATTTATTTCTAAAACATTAAATAAAACGGAACAACTTTATGCAACAAATAAAAAAAAATTGTTAGCCATAGTATGGCTCAGGAATTATTTATATGGAGTAATTGGCATTGAAATACAAACGGACCATAAATCCTTATCGTTCACAATTTCAGATAAAAATCCAAACGCAGAAATGAAAAGATGGTATTCTTTCATTGAAAGTTGAACAGCAAATGTTGTAGCCGATGCATTATCACGAATAGAAATAAATAATATTACAAACAGCGAATAATATTTTTCTGAACAGTAAAACTCAGATCAAGACACACAGCATTCTGCTGAGAGTAGTTTTGAAAATGTAATTCAAAAGACCCTTAAACCGTTAAATCTAGATACAATACATGAGTCTCTGCAAATTTTTGACAAGACAAGACACATAATCGAATATGATACAGTTGAGAACTTAGTTACCATATTAAGGCAATATCCTCCACCTAACATAACGGTTGGAATTCATGGTAGTTTAGAAGACTTATATCATATTCAAGTATCTTTAAAAAATAGTTTTACTAACAAATTTCTTTGTATGCGATTATTTCTACAAGACGTTGAAAACTCCGAAGATAGAGCTATTAGAATAGAGGAATCACACAATCGTGCTCATATGGGACTAGAAGAAACTCATAAACAAATCAGTAGATTATATTATTGGCCAAATCTATATATTATAATCTATATAAGATTACATACAACATTGTAAAATTTTCAATGAGAACAAATATAACAGACACCCCATTAAAATTCCAATTGGAGAAGCCCCAATATCAACTAAAGAAGGAGAAAACTTATACTATGCGCAAAGTTTAACTTTTATAACTTGTATTGACGCAGACCCGAGGCACAGTACCTCAAACGGACAGGTTGAAAAGGCACATTCGGCACTAAAAGAATTAGCACGCTGCATAAAAGAAGAATTAAATCTTACCGATTATTCTGAAATTGCAATTAGAGCAGCTCAGGAACATAATCAGAGTATTCATTCCACAACAAACCAAAAACCTTTTGACATTCTATATAATAAAATGATGATTTCATTAAAATACAAAATAAAATCAATGAATTAATTGAAAATAATAATAAACAATCTATTATAAATTCCAAATTGTTTAAAGAAATAGAATCTCTTTCTGAAGATTTTAAAAAATGTTTTTATTTATCAAGATTTTCCACCAAGAAAATATCGCTTACGATTGTTAACATTTGACCTACAAAATTTAATTGATACACCTTGCTAAAATTGATGTTTTTTTTTCAGTCAAAAGTTTGCAACGCAGTGAAGGAGACATATCCGACCCTATAAAGTATATACATATATTCTTTCTACGCCAACTAGTCCCTCAGTTTTAAAGCTATCTGCTTGAAACTTTCCCAAAGGTTGTCTTTCTATTGCAGGTAGTATATAAGTCGGAACGAGCAGGATCGGCCGACTATATCCTATAGCTGCCGTACAACTAAACGATCGGAAAGGCCATAACTTTGGTGTTTTTTAAGTTAGGAAGTTGGGAATTTGTATGGGTTATTTTTGGCCAATCAATCCGACCTACCAAATTTCATAAGGATCGGCCGGCTATATCCTGTAGCTGCCATATAACTGAACGATTGGAAATGCCATAACTTTGGTGTTTTTAAAGTTAGGAAGTTGTTGCATCATATGAATAATTTTGGAGAATATAATTTACAGAATATTCTGCAAGGGTATATTAACTTCGGCTCCGCCCCAAGTTAGCTTTCCTTTCTTGTTAATACAAACATTTTAAACAATGAAGATATAAAAGAAATATTAAAACACGAACAAAAGCCAGTAATTATCGCTGACTTAATGGATATCTCTGTGTTCAAAATCGCACTACATAAATAACTTTTAATAATTTATATAAAATACACAATAAAAAAAAAGGTGCGAAATACAATTCCCAAGCCGATGGAAAATTTCTAATAAGTAATCAAGTCGCAAAATGCGAAAATACATATAATGAAATGTCTATATTTAAGAAAGAACTCTTTAATAATTATTGCACTTTAGGTTTAGAAAAAACGTGTTTTACCCGATTATTGAACGGTGAACAATCAATTTTAAAAAATAAGAGAAAAAATAAAAGAGTAGACAATTTCGAAGATGGTGCCAATTTAATAAATGGTAACAAAATTGTCAACAACTCCGAATTAGGCGGTTTATTCTTAATTCCATTTAATGGTACAACCACTGAAAAATTAGAGAGTTTTCTAATTATCAAAACCGAAAAAACTTGGCGGTGGCTAAAATTATTAATTGCGAGAAAACGAAAACGAAAGAAAAGGTGTCGACGGCTCAAATCAATTTCAACGAATGCCTCTATATTTTTCGACAAAGTACTTAGAGCCTAGCTTAACGAAGGTTGGCGAAGACGGGGCGACTTCGCCGAGAGCGAGAGAAAACTTTATTGTGCTCCCGCCTTCGCCCTAAACTAACTTACACTAAACTTCAAGTTTTTTTTAACAATTTCATTAAAAATTCAAATTTGCGCGAACACCGGCCCCGTTGAACACCCATCGGGCTTCAACACAATGGAAGCGGCGCCAACTTATGAATGGCCCGCCGAAAAAGGCCTCCTCCACTAGTTCGCACGTCGACGACCCTGACCATGCCGTCCTCCCCTGCGTGCCTGGCGACTATTCTGCCGAGGAGCCATTGTTGGGGCGGCAGGTTGTCCTCGGCCACGAGGACGAGATCTCCCTCGCTGATGTTGGGCTGCTGCTGGTGCCACTTCCCCCGTATTTGGAGGCCCAGGACATATTCCCGGGACCATCGCCGCCAGAACATTTGCCTGACTGACGAGACAAGCCGCCATCGCCGCAAGCAGTTGAGACCCTCCTGGTCCGGGGTCCGGAGTGCTGGTGTGGCGAGTAGCGGCCCGCCCGTCAGTAGGTGCCCGGGTGTCAGCGCCTCTCCGTCGCTTGGGTCGCTGCTGATTGCTCCGAGCGGCCGGGAGTTCATCACCGCCTCGATTCCCACGAGGACTGTCCCCAGCTCTTCTGCGCTTAGGAGCGCGCTGCCCACCGCCCGTAGGAGTAGGTTCTTGGCAGTTTTGACACCTGCCTCCCATAGTCCGCCCATGTGCGGAGCCCGCGGTGGTGTGAAGACAAATTCGCATCCGCTTCTTGATGCGAATTCGCGTATCGCGTCGGCTTCGTCCTCTATCCTCTCTCGAAGGGCCCGGAAGTGGCGACTCGCTCCGACGAAGTTCGTCCCGTTGTCGCAATGGACGACTTGGGGACATCCTCGGCGCCCAACGAACCTTTGAAAAGCCAATAAAAAGGAATCTGTGGTTAAATCTGAAACAACTTCTAGATGAACCGCTTTGGACGCAAAACAAACGAAGAGCGCAATGTAGGACTTATACGGAGGCCTACCACGAATTTTCAATGTCGTATAGACAGGGCCACAAAAATCGACGCCACATATAGCAAATGGGCGGAGAGCACGGAGACGATCTGCGGGTAAATTTCCCATAATTTGTGTCATTAGTCGAGGCTTACACTTAAAGCAGCGTATGCATGATCGAACTATCTGACTGCAGACCTCCTGAGCGTTTACGATCCAAATACGCTGTCGAAGGAGACTCACAAGGGCTCGTGGACCAACATGAAAATTGGAATGGTGAAGATGCCGAACATAGCTCTGCACAAATTGGGAGCGTTTTGTCAACAACAATGGAAACTTGGCATCGTATGATATAGGAGCATTAGCTAGTCGCCCCCCAACTCGCAACAAAGAAAAGTGACACCAAGTCCCCTTGTCTTCATGGATGAATGGATTCAATCGCTGAAGACTTGGGCCAACTCTGGATCCTTTACGAACTTTTTCTCTTTCTTCATGATACTCGTGCTTCTGTAATATCTCGACAATTTTTAGAAAAGCTTCATTATATTCAGTCGGCGACAAAGTTTTTTCAAATACCATACTTTTGTCTTTGCATTTTCTTATGAAGCGGAACATATAAACGAATACCCGAAGCAGTTTAAGGTGTGACGAAAATCCCTCGATGACATCTACCAAATCCAAATTTCTTACAGCAGCGGTCAGTCCGACCGCAGTCTTCCTCGATTCTTGTAGTAGGACTTCTTCATCTAGTTCAAAGTGTGCATTCTGGGGCCAGTTTGCATCTTCCTCTTTTAAAAACGCAGGTCCAGTAAACCATATTGACTGTATAATTTCGTCGACATCACAACCTCTTGATACAATATCTGCTGGGTTTTGTTTCGTTGGAACATGCCGCCACGTAGCTTCACCTGACCACTCTTGAATCTCCGCTACTCTATTCGATACGAATGTGGATAATGAAGATGGATGAGACCGGATCCAATGAAGCGTAACTTCAGAATCCGACCAATAAACAATCCGTTCGATAGGTACCTTTAATAGGGGCTTGATTCTGTGGCAGAGATCTGCGAGAAGGTGAGCGGCACATAACTCAAGCCTTGGGAGTGTTTTAGTCTTGAGCGGCGCTACTTTAGACTTTGAAGTCAACAGCGATATTTTATAACCTTCTGCAGTTTTGCTACGAATGTAGACGCAAGCTCCATAAGCTCTTAAGGATGCGTCAGCAAAGGCATGTAATTGGACCGGTGACATCGGATCGGTATGCACAAACCGGGGAATAGATATTTCCTCTAATTTAGACAATGTAATTTTTATCATATTCCAAGCTGTTTCCAAATGAATAGGAATCGACTCATCCCAATCTAACTTATTAAGCCAAAGTTCCTGCAATAGGATCTTTCCTTTAATTACAATAGGACTTAATAAGCCGAGGGGGTCAAACAGCTTCGATGTCACCGATAGTATGTTCCGTTTTGTCGCTCGGAGACCCATGACAGCAGTGTCAATTTGAAATTTGAAGGCATCTTCGTTAGGCAACCACGATATTCCTAACGCCTTAGTTGACTCTGAGTCCGAGATGGGTATGGATTTAACTGTGCTCTCAGATGCGGTAACGTCAGGTGAGTTTGAAAACCACTTTGTCAATTCAAAACCTGCAGTTTGAAGAACCTGAGATACTTCAGACTTAATAGTCTTTAACTCCTCTACGCATGCAGCACCAGTCAACATATCATCGACATAAAAGTCGGATCCAATAACCTTAGCAGCTCTAGGAAAAGAAACTTTGGCAGACTCACTTAACCTTTTTAAACACCGAATAGCCAAAAACGGGGCTGGTCCAGTACCATATGTTACGGTGTTGAGCTTGTATAATCTCAAGGACTCAGAGGGGTCTCTTCTCCACACTATAAGTTGAAACTGCCTATCTGCTTCATTCACCATCACTTGGCGATACATTTTCTTTACATCGGCGGTCAGGGCAAACCTATGCAGCCGGAAGCGCAGTAACGTTGAGTACAACTCATCTTGGATTGTCGGCCCAACCATCAAAATGTCATTTAGAGACTTCTGAGTTGACGATTTACAAGACGCATCGAAAACGACACGTAACTTGGTTGACGTACTTTGGGGTCTCAGAACACATTGATGTGGGATAACATAATGTGGAGCAGAAGGAAGTTTATCTGTAAGAGACATATGACCTAAGGAAAGGTACTCCTCCATAAATTCTAGGTACATTTCCTTCATCTCAGGGTCTCGAGACAGCCTTCTTTCAAGCGACAAAAACCGCCGTTTTGCAACTTCAAAAGAGTTGCCTAACTCATTTGGATCCGATTTAAACGGCAGTCTTACTTCAAACCGACCTGATGGCAAAACCTGAGTAGTCTTCCGGTAGTGTTCTTCACATAACTTTTGCTCAGGTGACAGAATTTTCTTTAGAGATGGCATTTCTTCCAGTGACCAAAACTTCTGTAGTGTGCTGTCAATAGACACTAAAATCTCTTCACTACAACTGAAACTTTTCACAACTTCTGTAGGGGAAGATGCCTTATATCTACCCGATACAACCCAGCCGAAGAGGGTTTTCTGCAGAGTTGGAAAGTCAGGACCTTGTCTAATTTGTCCAACAGCTAATAACTCGAAAAATGATTCTGCTCCTATTAACATATCTATTCTTTGTGGCTTGTAGAAATAGGGGTCTGCTAGTGGTAGGTTCTTTGGAATTTTCCAGTCATTGATATTGACCGACTGGTCAGGATGATATCCTGATATTGATTTCAAAATCCAAAAATCGAAGGAGAACTCACTACCATTTATACGCGACTTCACCATTGTGTGTACCTTTTTCTTAACTTGAGAATTGGACTCGCCAATACCAAGTAAGTTTATACACGACTCCTCTTTACGGATCTGTAAGCGGTGAGCAAGGTCCTCTGTTATAAAATTCGTTTGGGACCCAGAGTCAAGAAGTGCTCGGGCCCAAATATATTCACCGTTTTTAGTTCTTACACTTACGATCGACGTGGCTAAAATCACTCTGTCCAATGATGTCGCATGCATAACATGTGACGTGGAAGGCTGATCTTGATTTAAAGAGGGAGAAAGAATCTCTTGGGGTGGTGGCAACGCTAAACTATTTTCGGACACTGTATATCTATGCAGTAAAACGTGATGCGAGCGGCCACAAACTCGACATTTATTAAATTTGCATTTTGAAACAGTGTGACCCTTTCGCATACAATTGATGCATAAGGAAGCAGATTTTACAAAGTCAAACCTTTGCATTACCGAAAGGCGACCAAACGGACCACAGTTCGCTAGGATATGGTCTCCTGCATTGCAATAGCTACAACTTTGCTGGGATTTACTGTTGGACGAAGAACAAGAAAATGAGCTGCGATTATGTGGCTTGCTCGACATAACTTTATCTTGCTTTGGTTTCGTCGATTCTTCAGCGGATAAATGCTGGTATCGGCGGTTTAACATTTTTTCAAAATCGGACCAAAGCGGTAACCTTTCATAATCTAATTGTTCTTCCCATTTTTGTTTGGTCACTGGGTCTACTCTGTTCAAAACAAGATAGATCAACATTGCATTTGAAATCTTGGTGTCGTCTCCTATCGATAACAAAGAACCGTATATAGATGATACGGTGTCGATAATATTTCTTAAAGACGAAGCTGACTGTTGCGTTATTTTCGGAAGACTAAACAATGTTGAAATATTATTCATAAAAATTAAACATTCGTTATCATACACTTTTTTCAGGCTGATCATAGCCTTTTCATAATTGCTCTCGGTGACTTGGTAGGCCTTAATAGTTCCCAAAGCTTCACCAGAAAGACAAGAAATTAAGTGATTGAATTTTTCTATGACGGGAATGCTGTCGTCTTGATGAACAAGAGTTTCGAAAAGGCTAATGAAATTCTTAAACTCCGAATATTTGCCGCTGAATTTCGGCAATGCCAAATTCGGAAGTCGAGCTCGAGTTGGGGCTACAGAAGCTGATCCAATTATTTTGGTTTCGCTTGCCGTCTTCAAGGCTGAGATAAGCGACATTATTTTTGCCTTGGTTATTATTGAAAGCTCTTCCAACTCTTCTCCGAACTCATCGCCATCATCTAAATCTTCGATCTGTTCTTGTATTTGAGTTGCCTTAATAATAGAAGCATTTAAAATCTCTAGCCGACAAGTTAGTTCTACTTCTTGGATCGGAATCTGGCCGGCTTCTATTCGATCATTTAATCGGCGGATGCTCATCACTGGTTTTTTGAGCTTATTTTTAAGATCCGCAAGAAGTTCAAAAGATTTTGGCTTATCTGGACTCATTTTAATTTATTTTTTATTTTTTTATATATAAACCACGAAATAAATAAATATATATATATAAATAAATTATTTATCCAAGAATAATAATTAATAAATAAATAAGTTTTAAAAGAGGATAATTGTTCAATTAGAACGACGACAAATGTTAAATAAATTTTCGAAACAAAATACTAAGAGTAAATAACAATTTAATTTAATTATTAAATTTGTTCGAAAAAATTATTTTAATAATTATCCACAACGAAAACGACGAAAAAAAAAAAAATATTAAATTGAATATCGAGCCACGAGGTATCACAATTAACAGTGGTGGCAAATGACGGCAAAAATCAGTATACCCGTCCGAATGCAGGGTAGCGCGTCACTTTGATCTTCAGCGCGCCAAACCAAAAGTCCAACAACAATTACAACGATGCTAACGGCAGACAAGCGAAGCGAAAAAGGAAAACGAAAAAGTTAACCGCTGCAGCTGCTTGTATATGAGGACTTATGTATTGGTTATATATAGCGGCTGGGATAATTTTACCAACTATTAATTTTCGAGTTTCAATAAATAAATTGGGGGCGACAGTGATTGCAATAATATAACACAATTATGTAAATGTTGCGTCCAACGGAGGTTCAAATAGGTTATAATGTGTATGTGTATATGTATGTGTATATAATAAATAATTTTAATATAATTTTTGGTTTTTATTTATTATAAATAAATGCATGCACAACTAGCTCTACTATATCGATACGTCTGTGCCAAGAATTGAAAGCGAGGTGCAATTTTTCAGCACAAGACAATAAACAATTCAATTGTTTTTCTTATAAACTCAAGCTTTCAATTTTTTGCACAAATACCTCAGGTTCTGCTTTAGGGTCTTTTAATCCAGCTGCCACTTTCCTTTTGCACATTGAGCAGTCGCAGGGCATCCCTCTGGCAGCAGTTCTTTTTTGGCGAACAGAGTATTTCGCGACCGGCACGATATTTTAAGCAGGAGCTGCTGTGTATTTTCTATCCACACCGACACGCCGCGGGCAACAAAAAAAACACTATGTATATATGTAATTGAGTGCTTTGAACTCCACTTGCACTTGCACTTTATATTTTTGGTTTATGTGTCACTGTCACTAGTTTCCAAATATTAATAACTTTAACGTCCACCCGGGGGCGCCATGAAAAATTAGAGAGTTTTCTAATTATCAAAACCGAAAAAACTTGGCGGTGGCTAAAATTATTAATTGCGAGAAAACGAAAACGAAAGAAAAGGTGTCGACGGCTCAAATCAATTTCAACGAATGCCTCTATATTTTTCGACAAAGTACTTAGAGCCTAGCTTAACGAAGGTTGGCGAAGACGGGGCGACTTCGCCGAGAGCGAGAGAAAACTTTATTGTGCTCCCGCCTTCGCCCTAAACTAACTTACACTAAACTTCAAGTTTTTTAACAATTTCATTAAAAATTCAAATTTGCGCGAACAACCACAATTAATAACGTTTCATAAAGCTATTTAGAGATTTAATTAACTATATAACTACATACCACTTCAAAAATTATGAAATATTTCGATTATATATTATCAATTGGAACTCTCTTTAGATAATATAAACATTTTAAATCCATTCATTAAAATTAATAATACCAAAATATCTATATATTTCATATTATTAATTTTAATCATAATATATATTTGATTTCCTTATCTATTATTAAATACAAAAATATATATGGAACCAAAAAACAACGGCCAGAATTAGAAAAAACCTATTAACGAAGAAATATTTTTAACAGAATTAAGAGATCATTTAAACGAAATCCATAATGAATCGGGACGAACCATTTTAGAAGGGGAGAGTTATCCAACCCGTGAAACGGTTCTACTTATGGAATTAATAAACAAATTTTTTAACTCAATCTCAGCTATATTGCTCTTGCCTTCAGCGACATTGCCTTGGCCGATGTATAAAATTCTGGCTTTGCCTGCTAAGATAAATAAACCATCGTAAAGTAAACACAAGCTTCCGTCCGAAGCCCAAACTCTGACGTTCGAAGCCCTAAGTATTGCGTTCTAAGTTCAATCATATTGCGTTCCGATTTTCAATCAAAATCGCATCGGTCAGCATAATTTTATTTCACAACGAGATGCGAAATTTTCAGCATAAGCTTTTATTTTAAACAAAAATTACCGCGATCGGTCATTTCTAAGAAAAAAAAAATAAAAGTGTCTTGTCATTTATTACTCCAAGAGGTTGGTCGTCATGGCCTTCGCCTTATATATCCATGATGACATGGGGATATATTAGGTTGTCAAAAAAGTCTTGCGGTATTTTTATTTAATTTTCAATTGTTCATAAAATTGGTTACAATAATGCGATTCAAGTCAAATATGCGCCGTTTTGTTCGATGACGCGTTCCCAACGAGATGCCAACTTCATAATGCCCTTCTCATAGAAGCTCGCTTCCCTATTGGCAAAAAACTCGGAGAGCCAATTTTCACAGGACTCTCTTGTGGCCAACTTCAGACTACCAAGCGCGTTCGCCATGGACAGAAACAGGTGGTAATCACTTGGTGCGAGATCCGGACTATACGGTGGATGCAAAAGAACCTCCCATCCGAGCTCCCGGAGCTTCTGGCGCGTCACTAAAGATGTGTTTGGCCTGGCGTTGTCCTGGTGGAAGACAATTCGGCCTCTGTTGATCAAAGATGGCCTCTTCTGCATGAGTGCTGTCTTCAAGCGGTCCAGTTGTTGGCAGTACAGGTCCGAATTGAGCGTTTGGCCATAGGGGAGCAGCTCATAGTGGATTATTCCCTGCCAATCCCACCAAACACACAGAAGAACCTTCCTGGCCGTCAATCCAGGCTTGGCCACCGTCGCATCTTCGACCACCTCTACACCAGAACGAAAACGTTGAAACCATCGTTGTGCAGTGGAAATGGAAACTGTATCGGGTCCATAAACTGCACAAATTTTATTGGCGGCTTGAGATGCATTTTTGCCTTTATCGTAGTAGTACGGTAAAATATGCCGTATTTTCTATTTATTTTGCTCCATGATTGCGACGCTATAACTAACGAACGACTTAAAAGAAAAGACAATCAATCAAACACGTGTTAGCGCGTGAAATGAGCTTTCCAAAAAGGTATAGTATGACCTGATGCGACGAATAAAACAAGAACTACGCGCTTTCAGCGCCAACTAGCGAAAATACCGCAAGACTTTTTTGATAACACCCTTTGCGTTATGTGTGCGTCAGTCATCCTGCTTCCTGAGTCGCACACAACACATTTGAAGGCGAACGCCGTTTTTAATATCCGTATAGTTTGATTTTACACTCAATTTTTTTAATTCGCGCCTGAATTCTTTCAGTCAATGTCGCTTTGGAATTCAGAGGGACCAAAGACAAAAATATCAAAAAAATATATCGGAATTCCAATATTTGGGCAAATAAAAAATCACGATATAAATATATCATTTTTAGGAAAAAATATCGATATATTGATATTTTGATATATTATCAACAACCCTACTCGAGTCGTTACAACGATCGACTCGCTGTCCACACCAACCACCTAGCAGCTTCCCTGGCCAACCCGACGAGTAGGCAAAGACTGAAGCGAAGACACCCCGCCGATCTCTGGACAAGAGGATGATCCAAGTTCTTAAGCATTAACCATTTACTGTTAATTTGTTATAAAATTTGTTAATCACTTCTGTTATGTTTTCACGTTTTTTGTTCTTTATTATTCCCAACGTATTATAACCATTTATTTGGTTGATCGACGTTAATTAAATCTATGTGTAAAACCAAAAAAAAAAGAAAGGGAAATCATACTTTTATACCTAGGAATCCGACGTCATTCAATTTTTCGAAATTTAGTAATTCAGATAAAAGGCTTTGACCAGGTTTCTGTATAGACAATAATTTTTATTTCAGATAGGAATAATGAACGAGGGCGACTAGTTTTGCCTGTCCGTCCGTATGAACGGTGAGATATCGAAAGCTTTAAGAGTTAAAGATTTAGGATTTAACATGAAGATTCCAAGTTTTTTCACTCAGCGCAAGTTTATTACAAAATGTTGCCGCTCTAACCCCCACAAATCAGCAAACACTTTAGATAC